TTTTGACTGGCTGGTACTGTACGAGCTTGTAGAGTGCCCCGCCGTCTTGCTCTCACTTCTCATTTTGCGAAGCTCCCAATAGCTGTACCAAGAATCTCCCAGGGCAGCAGCTATGTTTGCCCAACGCATTGTGTTGCTGGCTGTCATTTTCCTTCTCTGGGAGATCAATGCTGCCGTAGCCCGCCGACAAGCCGACCAAGTCACCGACGCGAACCCGAACCTCCGCGCAGCCGATCAGAACCAAGCTGCGTTGGAGCGGCTGCTGTGGTCCTACGACTCGAGAGACGAAGAGAGGAGATGGGGCTGGTCTGCAAAAGAGCTCGACGAACTTTTCCAGAAGCTAGACATTGCGACTGGAAGGCTTGACGACAGCAGCTCCGCCGCCTCAAGTGGTTCACAGTCATTGCGAAGTACAGAAAAGCGAAGAAGGCAAACTTCTGGTATCCGGATGACTTCATTTACGCGAAGTTGCGGGAGACACACTCGGAAGCAGATATAGCGGTGCTTTGCCAAAAACTCATGAACACCTCGAAGGCGAAGAAGGTCGCGAAGACCCTGCAGCATCACCTGTTTCAGGCATGGAATAACCGAGGTATGAGGTTGGAAGACGTCGCAGACCTGTTGGGCGTTCTTGTTTCGACGACGAACTCCGTGCGATCTGGCATTCTGGTGGACTATCAGCTGAAACTTACCGGAGAGGCCGTCAACCGCGTTCGTCATGGATAAAAAGACAACAGTAGAACTGCTCCAACGTATTACAGTACTGCCCCATCAGCATTACGTGAACAAGCTAAGCCGCGCCATGATCATGGCCCATGAAGCAATGTTTACGAGTTTGTGATAATTTGCAATTATTCGTAATATAACTACATGTATTATTGTGCCTTGCATGCCTTCTGTCTAAACAACGACGTAATTCGTTGTTTTAGCAAATCACGGTGATTAACCCATCATTGAGTTAGGAGGCTAACTCGTCGATTTAAGATAGAATAGCTGCTAAGACAACGAGTTAACGTTGAGTTATGCTCACTTTCGTTGAATGGCTGGAGTAAATCCGACAATACTACGGCCCTGACATTCTAATTCTAACTCACTCGCTTTGTCTGATTGCTTTCTAGTCGATGATTGACATGCGTTGGCGATCTATCGTACTGAACTACATCTACAATATTGAAGAACATCCCTGTTTTTATATCGAGGAGCTGCAAGCAGCTTTAAAGTCAGCGTTTCTTGCACATCCAAACATTTCTAGTAGATATTTTCTACTGCTACTATATGCCGTGCTCTGAAATTTGAGCTTGGTTTAACGCGCAAGGCCACGACGAAGAGAGCGAAGAAGAAAACGTCCCCGCCGAAATCGGTGCTTACTATTATGCAAGGAGTTGGCGCCATTCTATTGGGACCTTATCAGTTTGTTTTCTTGCAGCGACAACCGATTTATTCTTGCAGTGGCAACCGCTCCGTTCTTGCTCTGCGTTGTGCTTGGTACTGGCGGTTGATTAGCTTAACTTTAACTTAGAGTTAGGCTGCGAGATATGAACACCGGGAAGGATTTGCTCGTTGGTTTAGAGCCCTTACTCGCATGCCAAAGTTCGTGCAAAGCACAATACGAAGTAGTACAGTGCTACATATATTACGCAGTACTTCGAACTAACCTCGGATCTTCTTTTGTGGGTCACGAGTAAGCAGAGAAGATGGGAGCTCTCCACGACAAAGTTGGTGAAAGCGTTCGTTGTCGACACGCAACGGAATACAAATCTACGGGCTTGTGTATTCACATGTCAATGAGTGATCGCGAAGCCTACCGAATGCCCGACAGTTTTATGCTGCACAATCCGCCACCGACTCATTTACTGCCATCTTCCAAGAAACGCACTCCGCCTACCGACTTGCTGTCCGCCAGGGCCCAAAACCTTTCCAGCGCAGGCCCCGTTCCGCCACCCGTGACTTTTCGACCGCTGTTTCCCAGAGAAGGAAAATGACAGCCAGCAACACAATGCGTTGGGCAAACATAGCTGCTGCCCTGGGAGATTCTTGGTACAGCTATTGGGAGCTTCGCAAAATGAGAAGTGAGAGCAAGACGGCGGGGCACTCAACAAGCTCGTACAGTACCAGCCAGTCAAAAGTGCGCGATATAGTGCACGACGTGTATCCTGGGATGAATGAAACCTGGCTAACTGTAAAGTAATGACTGCATCACACCTTCTACGAGCCCGAGCCCGTCAACTTCAAAAGTGGGCTCCCCCTAATACGAGAGCCAAAAGTCGCACAAAATGGGCTCCCTCGTGGTAAGTACGAGATCAAGGAGCCCTGGTTCGTCCCCAGATTTAGCTTCAAATCTATGACGGGCTTTTCATAGTAATATCTGATTGGTCAATTTTACCTAGACTTAAGGCGAGCAACTTCGCGTGATCGATGCGCCACGCTAGAAGATCGAGCTCAAAGATCACCACACTAGAAGATCTCGCGCCGCTCATATGTGTACAGCCGCTCCGAGGTCACCCCAGCGTCGCCGATCGTCCTTCCTTCCCCTCAAGGAGGAGCCCTCTTTCCTATGCCTTTTCAGGTTAGAACCTGGAGATACTTCAATGACGGCCAATCATCAGCGAGATAGTTAACACAGGTGAGGGGGGAGCCCTTAATGAGGGCTCACAGTTCTGGAGGGCTCCTTTCACTTAACCTATTGAACTCAAGAGCCCAGGAGCCCGAGCTCGCGACTTTTTGGGTTCACCCAAGAGCCCAGGAGCCCGGCTCTCCCCAGGGCTCGTAGAAAGTAATGACCCTCCGGGTCTGTTGCTGAGATCATCGAGGCGCTGTCTGCCTCGGCCTCTGCATCGGGTTCTGGTTCCGTCTCATTTGCTGAAGCCTTCAAGATGCTGTCGCCTGGATCGTCACGGCCGTCCTTCGGCTCTGCAAGGACATTGCGGTCGTCCCGTGAGTCTTCGGTGGCAGACGTCTCCGTCTCAGTGTCGTCGAGTGTATCTTCGAATTCTTCGGCTACCGTCACCGTTGGCTCCGGCGCATCATACGAGCTTGCAACGCCCCTCACTGCTAAGAGCTCCGTCGTGCCGGTGTACCGCAACTGGGTGGGACCTCGCTCCGTCCAAGGCGACAGCGCATGCTGGCGTGAGGCGCACGTTATGAAGAAATGCCCCTCGAACTACGACCGCAACGAGAAGGCCAACACGTGCTGGGCCGAATGCCCCATTGAGTACCCGGTGGAGTGCGGCATGGAGTGCATCCGCCAGTACGACGACTGCGGACGCGAGGTGCTGTACAAGGTCGGCTCCGTGTTCAACGTCGGCATCAACGGCGTCATGGACAACTGGTTCGGCAAGTTCTCGGAAATGGCCAAGGGCGTGCGGACCGCCGTCATGTGCTCCTGCATGATTGTGGGTGAGCTCCGGGCACTTAACCGCTACATCCGCTCCATTGAAGCTGCGGACCCCGAGGCGTCTCAAGACAAGATCATGGCGCTGCTCTATCAGTCGAACGCTGTGGTGGTTGAACTGCCTATTACGATCAAGCTGTGTATGGGCGGAAAAACAACCCGCCAATGGTGGCTGGCGGACCGCATCATGGCCACTTCGCAGTTCATTCTGTCCCAGGTTCTGGCCCACGACGACAGCCTCATTACGAGTTGGGAGATCACCAAGGGCGAGATCGGATACCTCAAGGACGCTCTCAGGTCCAACTCGACGTGCGGCCACGACCTGCAAGGCCTCATGGAGCGCACGTGGTCGACCGTCGAGGCCTTGAGGGAGCAGAACCCCGGCATTACCAAGGACGAGCTGCGCGTCAAGATCCAGGACACGGACATCGTCAAGACGGACATCGCCACGGTGACCAGCAACTGCATGGAGCTACTGATCTCCCAGTCCGACGAGAAGACGGCCTACACCACGCGCGACAAGCTGCGCAAGACCTTCGGTGTCGTCATCAACGACCTCATCACAACGGGCAAGAGCGACAACGGCACGTCCTACAAGGCCATGGAGTACGCGTACAAGGTGATGAACCAGGGCCTCAACTTCTGGGTCGTCACGGGCTTCGACATGAGCGGCGTCTCGAGTTTCATCTCCGAGTACTTCCAGTCCATCTGCGGCCCGACGCAGTTCATGGGCGAGATCGACGACGGCACGCACCCGGACACGCTGGGGCTCAACATGACCCAGAAGGCGTTCAAGAACAGCACCATGTCCTTGACCAAGAAGGGCGACGGCCAGGTGATCATCAACTTCCAGAGCACCGACACCAAGAACGTGACGGTCAACATTATGTCTGGAGGCGACAAGATCGACGAAATCGACGTCGCTGCCTGTGGGAAAGCCACGTGGAAGTCAACTGTGGAGAAGCTGGGCGGCCGGACGCTGTATCTGGATCGCTGGCGTCCTGGTTTCCTGGGTCTTCCTGGCACCGGAGGTGCTCTTTGATGCTGTGGGTCCCTCATGCAGCTGAAGGCATTGTCTGTTGAGTCGGCCATTGACCATGTTTCAAAGGTAAAAACTCTCGTGAGTCACACAACACTACATCGGTATAACGCGCACGTGTTGACTCAACACATGTTACGGTAGACCATAACGAAATCATCGATGACTTGAGCACGTCTGATTCAGACGTGCCCAAGTCATCGATCATTTCGAGACGGTCTGAAGCGGTACAACGAAGAAAGAAGGGGATGTCAGATGAAGGTTCAAGGAAAGCTTGACGTCGCACTTCTCGGGAACCAGAGCTTCGTAGAGGTACTCTTGAAGCTGTCCACAACAACTTTAGTGCCACTGATATCAGCTCGAAGCTTTTCCGGGTTCGAAGACGATGCCTATCAATTTAGGTTGAAGAGAACTACTGTAAACTGCACTTGGTCAACTCACTGGTAGCGACTGCTCCTACCTGTTGTCGGAACGTGCGCCGACTGCAACAGGATGGCTGCTTCTGCCCCATCGCTCCATTGAAGCCCACCGGTTTTTCCGACTTGTTCACGATGCTCAATACCAGGGACTTCCTGGAGGGCGGCGTGTATGTGTCTAACTCTTAGAGCGTGTTCGCTACGCAGCTGGAGATGGATATCTGCAGGGAGTTGGTGCAGGGAGTTGGTGCATCTCCATCTCCAGCTTGTTCGCTACAACAGAGCGCATCTAGGTAACATTAGCCAATCACAGTGCAACTGCAACGACTCGCTTTACTTTGCTGTTTCTTCGTCGGCCGAGAACACTGTGCCCGAGACACCGGACGCGTGGCAAGATGGACCAAGCTGCCCCGAGAGCTGCGCCTCCGTTCCCGTCAGCCAGTGGCGACCTCGTGCTGACTGCTGCCAGTTTGGACATACCTGCCTCTGATGTTGCTCTTTCCCAGACTGTGTATGCGACACCGGCCACTACTCAAACGGAATCAGAAGAAAAAGACCAATACTGGTGAAACGTCTATCGCTACGAAGCAACCCTCCTTTGCGTGGACGACTGCAGCAGCTGATGCTCTGCAGCGGGCTCGTTTTGACACGCTCAAGCATCGTTTTCAGGGCACCAGAAGCGCGAAACAGCTTGCCGCCGCCTGGATGTTAGTCTCCGCAGAAACGTATCTAGTCTCGGGGCTCGAGGTGAAACCCCACCAGTGCAAGTCAAAGGTAAAGTACAAGGCCATCTATGATAACGTGTAGGATTTCTAATTGATTTTGTAAAAAGTAAAGCGCGGCTGCAACTTTCTTCTCAAAGCTATGCTGCCGTACTTTG